CTCTAGTCCTATAGAGTATTCTCAACCCAAACAAAAACAAACCCAAACCCTTGTGCACTCTTTCAACATAACCAAACACATACCCATATGCTCTCATACATCATACCTATGTGGACCCTCTCAATCTCCTCTAGTCCACTCACAAACAAACATACACACCCATAAGACGTAGAGCCCCAATACTCCTATAGGGTGTCTATCCCACAAAACCCTACAACTCTCTTACATCTTTTTCTCATACCTAACCTTGTAGAGACTTCACCTATTTATAACCATACAAACTTGACCATTAAGAATCCCTCTCCTCTTAGAATTCTTCTCCTGTAAGTCAAACTTGCCTATTAAGACACTCGTGTTCACTTGATAACATATGTTTAACTCCAATTTGAGTCTTATCCCAACTAACCAAGGCACTCGGTTCACTTGAATTGTTTACTCCAATCTTGTTCCTTGAGTCGCTTTGGTGGCATAAGAGTTTCGAATCCCAACCACGTTCCTTTGGAACCAACCTGCTAGCATTTTGAGCATCTATTATCATTAGTTCAAAGGCTATGGTCATAGTCATATCATTGAAAATGGCATCAATGATCCCTCTTTTGGGATGAAACTCCCAGGATTGCCACTGCTTGCTCGCCATGATCTGCCTTCCTTTTTCATCCCTCCAAATCCTTTCGCACCGGTGCTTCCAACCTATAAAGAGCATATAGAGATTCTTGACCAAGAAATCAACCCAAGAGTTTTGGTCAACACTTTTGATGCTTAAGAAGCTGAGGCTATGAATATCAAAGCTTTGGACAAATACAATTTAACTGGAATCGGACCTTTGATGCCATCTGCCTCTCTAGAAGGAAAAAGCCTTCTGAAACTTCCTTTGGACGTGATATTTTCAAAGTTACAAAAGAGTGCAGGGAAATGGAATGGCTCAATTCCGAGCCCGAAAATTCAGTCATATATGCATCATTTGTAAGCATTTCAAAGTTTGCAAAACCACAGATGGAAGAACTAGCAAAAGGGTTGCTTGACACTGGCCGTCCATTTTTATGGGCGAGAAGAGAAAGAAGAAGAAGAGCGAATGAGTTGTCAAAAGGAATTAGAAAAGTAAGGGATGCTAGTGCCATGGTGCTTACAAGTGGAAGTTCTTTCCCATCTATCAGTTAGATGTTCTTGTTAAAAACAAATAAATAAGAGGAGAAATAATAAAAAAAGAATTTTGGATTTGAGATATGAAAAATATTTATTTAAAATAAATTATGTCTCTAAAATATAACAAAATCTCAAAACTCTTCAAGTAGAAGTAGTGAAAATGATTATATTAAAATATCTATTTATAATAAAAAACAAATATAAACTTCCATTAAAATGGTTAGAATTTTTGTATGATCATGATTTTTATAAATAATAATCTATTTATATTCAAATAATTAAATCATTTATCATATGATAATTATTTCTGTTCAAATATAATTATTTAAAATATGAATAAAATTAAGAAAAAATTAACTTTACTCATCAATAATTAAATTCTTTTATCTAATATGGAATACACTACATTCTAAACTACTAACAGTTCTGTGACTCATTGCAGATGGAACTCAACGTTTGAAACCTTGCTTTCAGGGGTTCCTTTGGTGACATTACCTCAATGGGCAGATCAACCAACCAATTCAAAGCTTGTGCAGGATTTATGGGAAACAGGGGTGAGGGTGACAAAGAAAGAAGAAGGAATAGTTGAAGGTTGTGAGATAAAGAGATGCTGGGCATTGATGATGGGAGGTGGAAAGAGAGGAGACGAAATGAGAAGGAATGCCAAGAAATGGGAAGATTTGGCCAGAGAAGCTGCCATGGAAGGTAGGTCTTCGGACAATAACCTTAAAGCCTCCGTGGCTGAACGTATAAAACTTACTTGAGTACAGTACATCAATTATATTAGTGACCATATGTAATATTTTATTTTCATCAATGACCTTAAAAATTAAATTTTTTTATCTATGACATTTTAAAAATATTCTAAATTCATCAATTTCATCAACAAGCATTATTTAACAAAAATATATTACATTAGCGTGTTACGTAAATGTTCACTAACATAAATTTCAATTTAAACATCAAATGTTTCTATTTCTTTTTCGGTCATATGAACATTCACATGCCGTTGAGATGACAAATTTTATCATATTTTAATGTTGTTGCATGAAAATAGATAAATTTAAAATATTTTTAAAAGGTTAAGAATCTAAATATTGAGTTTTAAAAGTCGTGGATAAAAATAAAATATTGTATAAGTCATAATTACGTGATGTTATTTATTTTTAAAATTTAATATTGTACTATGATTTGGGGTTTAATTTTGTGTTTTTTTTCTTGTTCGTAATAGAATTCCAAGCGTATGGAACTTTAACGTTTTCATGACTTTTAGGAATAAATAAAAGTATTAAAATTCAATAAGAGCAAAAATGAGGATTGAACAGTCTTGTTAGGGATAGAGTTGGAAAGTGTATGGACAAAAACAAAAAACAGTTGTACTTTGTCAAAAATTAAATGTAACCCAACTCATTTTGTACCAATCTACTCGTTAACAAAGATGATAAATAAAGTCGAGAGTGTGATTTTGACTATGAAATTAGATCCCTCTAAATGAAAAACATATGTTTCTTTTACGAGGGAACAAAACCAAATTACCTTGCATATAGTGTAAGAAAATTTTATCTCGTAAATGTCGGAAAATGTTAGTGCTGCAATTTGTTTGTGGTGATAATAGATGAAGTCAGGATCCATGGCTACCATTTATTTGTTGTTTATGGTAGCACTGTCGGTCTAGCCACTGTCTTCTTCAATATTGATTATACAATTCGTACGATTCGCATTTCATAGCATTCTTCTCAATCCTAATACTATATGTATTGCACAAATATTTTATAATTTATACTACATTAACCGCAAACGTCACATTTCGATCTCAATCAACCAATTGTTTGTTATATAAAATCCTTCGCTACTCTCTACAATTTCAGTACAGAAAATCCATTCAATAGCTCAAGCTTCAACCCTTGCTATCTTTGCTTTGCATGGCTTAACATTTCCTGCACAAGGCCACATTAACCCTACCCTTCAATTTGCCAAGAAACTGACAGCTAATGGCGTCCATGTCACTTTCGTGACTGCCGTCTCTGCCTTCAACCACATGAGCAAAACTTCCCATCCGCAGGGTTTAACTTATGTCACTTTCTCCGATGGTTATGACCAAGGATTTAACTAAAGTACCGATGATGCCAGCCATTACATGGTTGAGTTGCGGTTCTCAAACCTTGAGAGAATTCATTGCTCAAAGTATCAATCAAGGCACACAGTTTGCTTGCATTATTTAATATTGCACTCTTTTTCCTTGGGTAGCAGTGATCGTTTGTGAGTTTCACATCCCGGCCAAGACCCTTGTAATCAACCTGCTAGTATTTTGAACATATATTATCATTACTTCAAAGGCTATATATGAGGATGTCATCGGAAATGGTATCAACAATTCGTTTGCCATTGAACTTCCAGGATTGCCACTTCTTACTCGCCATAATTTGCCTTCCTTTTTCGTCCCCCCCCCCCCCCCCCAATCCTTATGCTTTGGCGCTTCCATAGTTTAAAGAGCATATAGAAATTCTTGAACAAGAAACTAACCCAACAGTTTTGGTGAATACTTTTAATGCCATCTGTTTTTGTTGAGGGAAAAAACCCTTCTGAAATTTCCTTTGGGGGTAATTTTTTCAAGGTTAAAAAGGAGTATAAAGAAATGGAATGACTTAACGCTAAGCCTGAAAGTTCAGTCATATATGTAATTATTTGGAAGCATTTCTGTCTTTGCGAAACCACAGATAGAAGAACTAGCAAAAGGATTGCTTGACATTTGCCGCACATTTTTGTGGTTAATAAGGGAAGGTGGAGGAGAACAGAAAGAAGAGGAGGGATTGAGTTGTCATAAGGAATTGGGAAAGCAAGGTATGATAGTTCCACGGTTTTCATAATTGGAAGTTATTTGCGATCCATCTCTTGGGTGTTTCGTCACGCATTGAGGAAGGGAACTCAACTTTGGAAAGCTAGTTTTGGGGTTCTTCACATCATTCCTATTTTGATGCGTTTCTGCACTAGAATTTCGAGCATATATGTATAGAATTTAACTTTGACACGTGATCCGTTTTATAATTGATAGTGATTAATTATTTTTAAAATGTAAAATATATATATATATATTATATTCAAAAGAGCAAATATGGAGGTTTAAGTGTCTTTGTAGAGATAAGATCTCGAATTGCTTAAACAAATTAAAAGAACTGAAATTTATGCAACAGAGACAGAATTCATCCAGTAAACCGCATGAAGTGTGATACAAGGCAGTAAGATAGGCTGCAAATGATTTCATCATAACTTCCTTGACAATCAAGGCAGTTAAATTATGAGAAGAGAATTAAAATGTTTAAAACGGTCTTGATTTAAGAAACAATGACACAATGGGAGTTGGAAAAGATTATCAAAATTTAGTTTTTTTTAAAAGAAAATTAGTGCCCAAAAGGCAATTTTGTTTTAAATGTAATTTCTCTCTTGACAAAAGGCGAAGCTTAGTCCCGTAAAAAGATCATGTATGAAGAGGAAATGGGATAGCAAAAAAATTTAGGGATCGGCTAGGCAAAAACGGATCATAAAAGATCCTAATATCCCGTACTTAGGGTTAGGGATAGGGCTTCATAGAAATACTTCGAGTTTGAAAAGAACTGCAGACAGAGCATCAACAGATTATGAGGTTGAGAAACTGCAACAGCCCATTCATTGTATGATCAGATGTTACAAAGGATTACAAATATAACTGAAATGAAACAGTGTAAATCATATTTGCCAACAGTGAAATCCTAGTTTCAGTCAATAAATTCAAACCTCAAATACCAAAAAAAAAAAAAAAAAATCTCATATTCAATTATCACCGGTAATGAGCAGTGACAGAACTCAAGAAACCCAATTCCTAAACATTCAATCAGCTATAAGGAAACTCAAAGATTACTAATGCCAATGGCATAGCAATCGAAGCAAACAACTAAAAATTACATCTTTGCAACACAAGCACCAGTGTAACCAAGTCTACACCACGGACAAAGAAAAAGCATTTCATCATCAAAACGGAACTTGCAGTTCTAAATTGTTTAATACTTGTTCTCATTGTAAGTAAAGGAAATTGTTCCACCTAGCCAGAAAAATGGACAAAAAAGAGGGAAGTACAGCTTTCCACTCCACTCATCCATAACTCAAACAGCAAATATAAATTCAACAACAAAACAAAACCAACTAACAAAAAAATTGGTCCAAGGTAATTTATAAAACAAATAGTACTAAATTACTGTGATACACCAAGCCACTTAGTGAAGTTCTCAAACTCGGTGTAGTCACTATCAGAGATCATTGTCTGGTACCAAGCCTTTCCTGCAGACTTGATTGTAGCTGCCTCCTCCTGAAAGGTTCAAAGGCAAAAGGGAAACAAAAAGAAAAGGTGAATCCAACATTCTGAATGATAAGAGGTTTAAAAATACAATTTGCATCAAGCAAATCGGTTACATCAACGAGCGATACAATGAATTAAACAAATTGAACAAGCAAGCCAGGCTACAAAAACTAAACCAAAAATCATTATGCGAACAAGAATGAAAACTAAATGAAATCCAGATAAGACAAGAACAGATCAAAAGAATCAAATACCTTAGAGAGGGGTTTCCTTTTCTTGTCAAGCTTCTCCTTCTTGGCCTTGACTCGTTGAGCCTCAGCCAAAAGAGACATTCTCCTAGCAGTTTTAGCATATGGGTTAAGCTTCAGCATAGCATTCAAATTCTTAAGGGGATTCTTCTTCATTGGGGCTCTCTTGACATCCTTCTTAATCGGCTTCACAACCGATTGGACCTCATCTGAGTTAATAATCCTAGCCAAATCAGCATTAACCATCTTGGGACGGGGAAGCACGTATCCCTTCTTCTTCTCGGAACACTTATCAAAAGTCCCATAGATGGAATCAAGCTTCTCCAAAGCCGATTTAGTCCAGATCACAAAGCGCCCCAAATGTCCACCCGGCGCAAGTTTGAGCAAATTCAACCTATCCACATTGGCTATTTCCACGCCAGGAATGTTCCTGAATGCCTTCACAAGCTTAGCTCCCTCAGTTCCGTACACAATCAATGGCCCTTTCCGAGAAATATAGCGACGATTCCTCATTTTTCCCTTTCCGGGACGAATGGCCTGGCTATCTTTAGCCTTCTCGACGTCCGGATAAGCCCCGATCTGTTTCAACACCTTAATAGCAGCGGAAGTCTTCTCAACACTCTCAGCCGAATCCGAAATCACAAGTGGAAGTTCCGGAACCGACTCGATTCGGTGTCCACGCGCCATCACAAGAGAAGGAATAGCCGAAGCGGAAATAGCAGAAACGACGGCGTATCGTTTCAGGTTAACATTGATTTTGCGGTGCCAGCGACGCCAGATCTTAGTTGGAGCAAACATACGACCACCACGACACATGTTACCGAAAGCACCTTGACCAGCTCTGTGGGTACCACCACCAGGAACACGTGGGATACGTGAGACGGCTCGACCAGTCCCCCAGGATTCGGCGGAGGTTTGGTGACCAGCGCGTTTGGAGACGGCGTATGGTTGACGTTTGTTTTTGGAGATGTTGTCGTGGACGTGGCTGACGATGTCAGGGCGGATGGCGGCTTTCATGACATCGGGGAGAGGAGCGGTTGAGGCGACGTCGGTGGCCATGTCTCCTTCCAAAGGTTGGACATTAACGAGTGGGCGAACGGCTGCAGCGGCCATTTTTTGGGTTGGGGGAGTGGGGATGGGGAGTGTAGGAGGCGAAGGGTTTTTGGTAGAGAATATAAACTAGGGTTTGGAAAATATATATAGTGTCAATGTTTAGGGTTAATTTTATTTAGTTTAGGATTGTTTGGTGATGGGTTTTGCCGTAGTTTGTTCTGGAATAAGGTTCGGCCTTCCTAAAATAAGATAATCCAATGGGCCTTGTTTATCTTCATTAGTTGATTTTATAATTTTAAATATAATATAATAGTATGATATAAAATTATATTTTAATGATATCTTTATGTTGTAAAGTGACTAATCGAATTAAGATTATTGTATAGATCCAATTACATGAGCTAAATCATATTACTGCAAACATCATCAATAGAAAACTATATGATGCTTGAAACTTTAATGTTACTATTTTAGAATAAATTGTTATCAGAACAGATATGGTTAAAATAATAAAATTATTTTTGAAGTTTATGACTTTATTTAAATCATTTTTATATTTTTATTGTATTTAAATAATTAAAATAAATTTTAACTTATATTTAAAATTTTTTTTAAATATTTAGTTTGAAAGAATGGTAAAAACAATCATCCCAAACATCTCATTTCAGCACTCGAATCAACATGAAGCTACGTGAGCTGTTTTATCAAACTCAAAACTGGCCATAAAAAATTCAAGTGTTTTTCATTTTTAATCACTGAAACATAACATGAAGGCTTTTTATAAGATAAAAATGCCCTTTATGATATCTTGCTGTTGTTTTCAAGGTACTAGATGGATAAACAATTGTCTATCCATTAAAATAATTTTTTCTTGAATTTTGTAGGATCCTTGTCACAGATTAAGAATAGCTAATTGTACATTTTATGTTCAAATCTTTCTTTTATTCTTGAAACATCTTTTGACTTCTACCGGTAAGAATTTATTAAAAGCTAAGCTAATTATGTAGGACTATAGAGGTCAAAGTTTACTAATCTTTGAGACAAGTCGTTCCACTAGTTGTTGAAAGAAGGTTCAAGAGTCCATTTGTCAAGGTGACTGTAATTCTTGAATGTGTTCTAAGGGGTACCACCACTTACTTGGTCATGTTAGGATAAATGTCATTACTTCGCCATAAATCATATTGTAAGAACCTTTGATCGTGATTTAAGTAATTTATAGCCTTCTTATCAAACTAGCTTTGATACCAACTAATATCAAGACCCGTTATGTAAGTTAGCCATTGGTGGTACTTCAAAAACTAGTTTTCGATAAACCTTTCACTTATTAATTGCATGGTGGCTAGCCTACCTAGGCATGTCAAGATAAAAACCAATGTTTCATCACAGATCACACGAAGGATGTTTGGGAAGAGGTCTACATAACATATCTGGAAGAACATTATCCTTTTCTTTTATATGTGTTATGGTGAAAGAGTATTTTAAAAATCGTTGAGAGACTTTAAGCAACTATACATTTGGCATATTTTTTTTTCTGAAATTGAGCATGTGAATCAGGGGATACTATAGGGTATCTTTCATAAGTTTTTATCCATTGGATTTATATGATAATGGGTCTAAACCATTGAAAGAAAAACTTAATATGTTGATGACTAGGGTCCATCTGATTTTTTTTTTTTTTTTAGATTGATGGTTGACTGATGAAAATAGTGAAAGGTCTTTTAAGCTTTTGGAATGGAAATTCTACAGCAATGTAGTAAAGTTGACAAAGGTACCATATGAAATAAACAATTTTTTTTTTTAGAACCAAAGTGTGGTAGGGAATTTGAAAGGGTAAATGAAAAGGTAGTTTAGGTGTATTCCAAGTGATTGAATGAATGTGTCTCTAAATCTTCTGAGTATCTTAGATTGGTATTCAAATAAGAGGTGTAGGGCCTTTTGGTTAAAGGTTATAGTTGCAATTAATCTTGATAATTTTTTAGGTAGTTTTTCAATTGGGATGTTGAGGAATTCATTAGAAAGGTCAAATCCATCACCAATGTGAGGTTTTTCTGAATGAGGAACAAATGGGGTTTTTTTAGGATGAAGGTAAAGGTGAATGATTCATCATGTAGATTACTGAAATAATCTTAAAAGAACTAAAAAAATGTCTGGATAACATATCTGGGAGAATATTATCCTTTTCTTTTATATGTGTTGTGATAAAAAAAGACTTTGAAAACCATTGAAAAAGTCTAAGCAACTGTGCATTTGGCATTTACTTTTTTCTAAAATTGAGCATCTAGTCAAAGGCTAACATATCTAGTTCTACAAGAAAGTGATATCCAATGAGATGAATTCAAATCTTTGGATTCCATATTTCATTGTTAGAATCTCTTTTAACATACAGTGATAATTGATTTCTGAATCTTTAAATTTACTGTTTTTGTAACCATATATTTGTGTGGTTTCATCTTTTTCTTCGATAAAGGTTGTTGATCAAAATTTGTCTCTTGCATCTATCAAACTATTTTATTAATATAAAATTCTTTCTTAATTGGTTTTATCTCAATTATTTTATTACATAAAAATCTGAATATTTATTTATAAAAATTATATTAAAGGAAAAATGAAATGAATTGTAATTTTAATAAAAAAACTAAGCATCAATAAGTAAATAGATAATTTGAATAATAACTTTTAATAAATAAATTATACATTAATCAGTAAATCAAATATTCAAATAAATTTTTCCTTAATCAAATTTTTTATAATTGCTTAAAAACCTTTACTTGTCACATTTTGACTACTCTTGAGAAAAAGTTTAAATTTGGAGTTTTTATTATTTTATATTTATACTGATAAAAATATAAAAAAATATTTTTTAAAAATTTAATGAAATATTTTTTAAATATTTATTTTATAAAATTTAATTAATCAAAATGCTAAAAATAATAGATGTTAAAGACAAAAAATGTTGCTTAAAAAAATTAAATATGAAATTCAAAGTTTAACTCAATTAATTTATGTTACCAATTTTAAAAAATAATATTAAGTAATCTTGGGATTCAAATATAAATACCTACAACTTCATCTCTTATTCTCAAATTGTGATCTTTTAAAAAACAACTATAAAATTTTAAACAAATAAAAGATTGATGACTAAAGTAACTTATTTGAAATATAATCTTTTAAAAATAAATTTTGTGGTAAAGGGGTATGATGTTTTAAAAATCATTTATCAAAATCCAAACATGTTATTTTTTATAGGGATAGATGATTCATAATCACATGGAATTTTTTTTATTATTTACCTTATTTTTATTTAGTTAAATTGTCAATAAATGTACCCTAGTTTCATTTATAATTAGAAAAATATTCTTTTATCATCAAAGATATCAATTTTTTTGTGTAGACGTAGATTTTAAATTATTACTTTTTTTTTTGTTACCCAAAATGTTACTCTTTAGGTAAACATATACATGCATCTATATAAATTTATAAAGAACAATGTTTAAATAAAAGTAAATAAATATAATAAGAGTAGAATTAAAAAAAAAAAGTTCCTTTGATAGTTATAATTTTTACTTTTTTATTATTTTCTTCAAAAAAAAATTACTTTGAAGTCAAATAAAAGCAAAAACGAAAAAAGTCAAATATAACCAATTAAAATAGACAAATAGTTAAAATGTACACCAATTTATAATGTAAGTAATTAATAAAAATAGAAGCATCATTTTATTAGCTAAGTAAATTGCATATTTTATAATCTTATATTGATTTTTGTTTTTTTTTTTTTCAATAAAATGGAAAACAAAATATTAAAAACAAGAACCATTTAAAGACTAAAGAGTAAAATAGCATAAAATATGTAAAAAAAATAATAATAATACTATTTACCTATTTATTGGCACGTGAAGTCAACTAACTTGTTATCTCAGTTTCTCGGCTTTGAACTTTAAAATTTTAAGAATATAATTGTTTCGTAGAAATTATTTTTTAGAAAAATAAGTTTTAAAAAATGTTTACATTTTTTGAAAAAGTAAAAATTTTGTATTGTTTTGATAAGTTAATGAAAAATATTTTCTGTTATTTAGTTGTTTTTTGAAAATTTTATTTTTTAAAATAATATTAATATAATTATGAAAATATTAAAATTTATTTATTATGAAAATATATTGAAATTATTTATTATTAAATTTATTAGTTTTCAAGAATAATTATATTTTAATAATAATATTTAATATAAAATATTATATTAATATAAAAATAATTAAAATAAAATAATTTATTATTCTTCACGTTAATATTTTAAAATATTTAAAATAGTATTACTATTCTTAAAATATTATTTTTATTAATATCAAAATAATAATATTTATTATTAAAATATTTATACTATTAAAATATTTATATTTAATATTGAAAGTATCTATTGTTAAATCATAACAAAATTTTATTTTATTTATGTTTATTATTAAAATAGTAATATAAATACATTAATAAATAAAAATATAAAATTATATATTTTAAACTAAAATAATAAGAAACTATTAAAATATTCTTATTAAGAAAATAACATTATTATATTATTTAAAATTAATTATTAAAATAATAAAAATATTATTATATATGTTATTATTTATTATTAAGATAATAATATAATAATATTTACTATTGAAATATTAAAAATATTTATATTTAATAATATAAAAAATAAAAATATTTAAAATTCAAATATCAAAAGACTTTTAATATTAATATTTCAATTAAAATTAAATAAAATAATTATTATTAATATAATATTTTTTAAGTCGAATCAAATCAAGTTTGAGTTTAAAATATTATATTTAAAGTCTTGAGAATATGATTGCATGAATGCTCTTGACATTATTAGTGAAATTAATTTTGTATATTTTTGGGATGTGCTTGTTTTTAAAACTTATGTTTAACCATGAATTTGTTTACAAATACTTGACATTGATGATATCATGCTTTATGAAATTATTATTGGTGCTTGTTAAGATAAAATATGTCCGTAATTGTTTTTCTATTTATGTACAAACTTAAGGGAGCATACAAAGCTTAATGATTTTGAAATTAATGTTTTACTTTGAAAGTGATTTTTGCTAGAGTCAAGCCTTA